ACCTGTAATCACAGATACTCGGAGGCTGAGGCAGGAGAACTGCTTGAATCTGGGAGGTGGAGATTGCAGCAAGCCGAGATCACACCATTGCACTCCAGCCTGGGCAACAAGAGTGAAACTCCGTCTCAAAAAAAAAAAAAAAGAAGTGTTAATTAGTAGCCCAAGTCAAGGTAGAATGAAGTCTTCTTTAGAAGCAGGGACTATCTTTTCTTTTTTTCTATTGCTTTTCTTTTTTAATCCATGTTTGGATCACGCGACTGTTAAGCCTAGAGATGAAACAAGGCTGAAGAAGAGAGATATATTAGATGATTGAATCTGAATCCAATAAATGTATTAATAGAATGTGATAACTGGTTGAAACTAATAAATTTTAACATCAATAAGTGCAAAGTTTCATAATAAAATTTCCAAAATTGCCTGTACAAGACAAAATGACTCTGCAACAAGTCAAGTGAAAAATACTCAAGGATTTTAATTGAACCTAAGCTGATTTTGACTAAGATGTGGCTGTAAATGTATTTGAATAGCTATCTCCTTCAAAGCAAACATAGTCATAATTCCACTGATTTTTGCTGGTCAGACCACACAGGGACCATCAGTTCCTGTTCTGGATGTCACTTGGAGAATCATGTTGAGAATCTGAAAATCCTCCTGAAAAAGCAGCAGGTTGGTAAAGGATTGGAAACTACTAGGAAATACATTGGAAGAAACTAAGGAAGAGTAGCCCCAAACAAAAATGTCTTAGGGTGGATGTGGGGAAGAATAGCTCTTTTAAAGAGAAAATAGCATTAGGGCCACTTAATGCAGTTTGGAGAGGGAGGAGGAGTGTACGGAATTCCACTGAATATAAAGAACTTCCTTAAGCATTACAAAAGGTGAACTTGTGAAGTAGAAAGCTCTCATCACTAAAAAAGATCAAGTCCATTCATCTGAAACGTTGTTGGGGGAAGTCACAAATTGGAAAAGAGACTGAATTAGGTTAACTTTAACTTCCCATCCAAGTTTAACACAGTATGTATGCTTTAAGGATTAGTCCTCCAAACAGCACGGAGTTTATGGCCTGGTGGCTCCCTGCCCAGGAAGATCCAAGTGGAGACATTCTGTTGCTCTGTGAGATGTCAGGAGGGAGCATTTCCTGCTTCTGGTTCACTCACCGTCAGCTGTTGCTCTGCTGTTCCATTTTGGAATATCAGCCTTAAGCTTCCCTTTTGGAAAGAGAGCAGGGGAGGACAAAAAGGAGGCTGAATGAGAGGCTCTTGGATTACTCTTTCTTTTACTTCAGTTCCAGGCATTCCTAATCTATTATGCCAATTTGAGTTTGTAGTTGAATGGAAAGGTTCAGGTTTCCCTTCCAGAGATGGGCGGGGACACTCAAACAGCTGCTAGGATTAGGGAGTGGCTAATAGTTGGAAGAGGCCAAACACAGTCTAGCTGTTTTATTAAAAAGAAGTAATTAGAGGAAAAGGGAGAACTGCAAAGAACCCGGGGATGGAAAGAGGCGTCCTCTTCGGCCCCCCTCCCCTTGAGCTGACATTTGGATCACCTCACTGAGTGATGAGGTGAACACAGGAACAGGTGAGCCTCATCCCTACCCCATTTGCCCTAAACAGGGATTATCTTGCTGAGTTTGCTGTGTCCGGAACCAATTAATCAAGGTTAGACAAAGGATAGACAGCGAGAACTGGAAGAGATGGGGTCGGGAAGGCGAAGCCAGGAACCGCGAACCGCGCGCCTGGCAGATGACATCATTGCCTGAAAGAGCTCTGGCCCTCCCCTTCCCGGAGCTGCGCCCGGCATGTTCTTGCGGGAGCAGAGTGGGTTTGCCTGGAGGGCGTGAGCCGAGGGCGGCAGTGCGCCAGAGCCCGAGAGAGGTGCGGAGGCGCGAGAGGAAGACCTGGAGAGACCCGCGAGCGTGCGAGCGGAGATCTCCGGGTTGGAGGTGTCTGCGCCGCTCCCGGCTCCGCCCCTGCTCCGCGCGGCGCTGGGCCCTGGGAGGGGAACGCCTGTCAGGGGGTGGGGAGTGTGCACTAGGGGGAGGGTCCGGGGCGGTGGTGGGGGCGGAGAGCCGCCTGCGCACCTCAGGGCTGACAGCACACACGGCCTGGGGGCCTAGAGAAAGGTTGCTGATCACCCGCCGCCCAGGGCCGGGGCCCCGCACCATCCGGCGGCGAGCTCCCGAGAAGGGGCTCCCCCTCTCCACCCACCCACCCCCACCTCTGAGATCGCCTAGCGAACGCGAGCTGCTGCCTTCTTCCCGGCCCCGCTGCACCTCCCCGGGGAGCCGAGGGCGGGCGTGGACGGGACCGACGTGGAACGCATTCTGTAGCCCAGACGGGCTGTCCCTGCGGCTTCGGGCGTGGAGACACGCCCAGCTGGAGAGGCGGTCAGGGCGGACCAAGCCGGAGCCGCGGGGCTCTGAGGGTCCCAGTTGGAGCGCAGCCGATCCTGGGGAGGCGAGAGGTGAATCGACCTGGACCCTTCGACAGCCCGGTTGCTAGGCCAGCAGCGCGACTCCCTTCCGAGCTGAGCTTGCCCTGCGCGCAAACTAGCGAGGCTGGGGCGCCCGTGGAAGCAAGAGTTCCGGGGTGGGCGGGGAGGCGACTGTCCGTGGTGCTGAGCGCCGGCGAGAGCGGGCGCGGAGAGGCTGATCAGCTCCCTCGAATTGGGGAGGTCCGCTGGGGTGGCTTCGGGCCCAGAACCGCCGCCCGGCTCCAAAAGTCCCCGGGGCCTCCCCAGGCACCGGTGCTAGGCCCTTCTTTGGGTCAGAAAGTCGCCCCCTGGGGGCAGTTCGTCCCAAAGGGTTTCCTCGAAAGAATCTGAGAGGGCGCAGGCCTTGACCGAAGGAATCTCTCTGTGTAGCCTCAGAAGCCGCCAGCCCCAGAAGATGCCTGCCTTCAACAGATTGTTTCCCCTGGCTTCTCTCGTGCTCATCTACTGGGGTAAGTACCAGCACCCCGCCATGCTGGATGCAGGTAACAATAATAATGCTAACAGTAATAACACATGGATGTCCTTGGCAACAGAAAAGAGCTCTGGTTGGCTTCCCTCTGTGCATGTCTACCAGACATGGAGATCGCAGAGGTTCCATGAGAGCTGGGATTTTGAGATGGGAAAGGCGCCTCCTCACCGCCCTGCCCTGCTATTCTCCAACCTCCTTTGGTGGTTCTTCCGCCCTTCCTCCAGTTTCCTGATGATTCCAAAGTATTTTTTTTTTTTTTTGCTTTCCCTTTGCTGAAAGGAAATGCAGTCACGTTCACCATCAAAAACCTCCTATGCAGTTATATTTCATTTCTTATCAAGGAGTCCATACTCCTGGAAAGCTTACTGGGTCTTAAAATTCATTTCTGTATTTTAAAAAACAAACATGAAACCTGGATGCATAAATTTTGAGAGTGAAAATACTTTAGTTGCTCATCATCTGCTTCATTTTAACAAGGAATGGGGAGAAAACAGGCTTCAGCCATTTACTGCTATGTATTAAATAAATAGGCAACTGTGAAATGCATCTTTCTTCTTTGTGTGTGTGTGTGTGTGTGTGTGTGTGTGTGTGTGTGTGTGTTTGCATGAACATGTGGAACTATGATGCTTTGGTGTTTGGGGAGGAGAACTGGGTTTTTGCCTTCAAAGATGAATAGATTCTTGCTTGTCAGCTGTGAAAGACTGAATTGACCTTCCCCCGACAAATAAGGAAATCTTACACTTGGAACAGTAAAGGCTGAAGTGCCTTAACGTGTGTAAAGGAGTTAAGAGTCTATGTGATAATGTCTGATTATGTGATTGAGACAATGTTTTACTGTGTGTAAATATATCTTAGTGCCTGGATGTGTGCACTAGCGTGTGTCTGAACACGTTAGCATAGACATCTGAATGCATGGGTGACAATGTAGTAGTGTGTATGGCAAGGTGGTAGTTCTGGGCATCTCTGCCTTGGTGTCTCTGATTAGATCCTCAGATAAAATATAATGCTCTTCAGCAGATACATTGCTTTACATGATCTTAGCTACCTTCCTCCGTGCTAAAATCAATATACAGGGTAATTGGACACAATTGTACCCACCTGCCTCCCTGAAATGAGGCATGTGGGCTTATGTTCCCATGGTTGGCATGAAACTCATCCTGCCTGTACAGTGGCAGACATGATGATGGGAACTACCTCTTTGCCTTAGTATTACTTTTTCAAGCCTCCAGGACTAACTCTAGCCGCCAGCATTATCTGGATTTTGCATGTGACCAGAGGCAGAGCCAAGCTTCCTGTCAAAATGCCTGAAGAGACAGGCTAGTAAGGTCGAGGAGGGAGGTAATGTCAGTCCCAAGGGCAGACTCATCACCAACCATCCTCAGTAGAGTAGACCAGACCTGGAGATGAAGCAGACATAATAGGTTGCCAGTGATCTCACCTGCCTTGAAGATTAAGGCTAAAATTTTCTCAGGGGAGGCTAAGGCTGGGGTCATGAGGCCTAGAAGATGTTAGTCTGGCTGGATAAAAAGAGTGTGGGTAAAGCCGAAGTTGTAGACAAGGACTGGGGTGAGACTCTGCAGAGACTTTCTTCCTATACTCTAATCTAAGTTTTTGAGATCCCTGTCTGAATTCCAGGGGAAGGAGAGAACATGCTATCTCCACGAATCTTTTGACTAGAACTGTGCAGCCTGCATTGGAGTCTCAGCTTTGCCACTAGCTTACTATGTAACACTTAGAGTGCTATCTGGTTCTTTGCGGGTAATATTTGGAAGTTGGCACAAGTGGTATTGAACATCCTTTTCAGCTCCACAGATGAATGGTAGAGAAATCTTTGAAGAATATTGCTAGAATTGACAGAGTGCCCATCCTCTCTCCGACCCCCAAAAAACTTTGGAAGAAATGTACACAGAATGCCCATCTTTGCCCATTCTCAGTTTTTTGCAACCAGACTGAAAAGCTGTGGAAGGGAAAGGGAAGTGGCTCAAGATTCCTGGTTGTTAAATGTAAGAAAAAGAGCCTCCCTTCACAGGTACACTTTCATTTCATTTGCATGTAATTCCAATATTGGACAATGCTGATTTAGATGTGTTCCCCCTTCCCAAGTTGATTTTTTAATATGATCTACAATATGAAGGGAAAGAGTCTTTCCATTTACTTTCTGCATGCATGAAAAAAGTTTTCTGGCCGGGCATGGTGGTGGCTCACGCCTGTAATCCCAGCACTTTGGGAGGCCGATGCGGGTGGATCACGAGGTCAAGAGATCAAGACTATCCTGGCCAAGATGGTGAAACCCCGTCTCTACTAAAAATACAAAAATTAGCTGGGCATGGTGACGTGCGCCTGTAGTCCCAGCTACTTGGGAGGCTGAGGCAGAAGAATTGCAAGAACCAAGGAGGCGGAGGTTACACTGAGCCAAGATAGTGCCACTGTACTCCAGCCTGGTGACAAAGTGAGA